TCTCTATTATCTTCTATAATTTTATGCATTTGTTTTATGCTTAAATTGTATATATGATATTGTTTAAAGGTTTTGCATGTCAAATTAACAGTGATCCATATTTGTAGTACACCACATACATAGTTCTGAAAAGAGTGTTGTTTTGTCTCTTATGTATTTGAGACGTGAGAAAAATCAAATAAAGTTTATCATATTTCTGTGTTTTTAACCTATAGAGTAGTCAGTGGGAACAGCTTAAAGAATCTGGATTACTCTCAACTGAGAAAGTTAAACCAGCTGTTAACAAAACACCAAAAGCAGCAAAGAAGAATGAAACCATGAAAGAATTCCTGACTGTAGGACCTGTAACTCCTGATGATGAAATCAGCTTCAAAAAGACAGTCAGATCTGTAGAACAACCGAAAGAAAAAGATGACACAGCCAAGAAGACAGCTACCAAAAGATCAATTAAAAAAGTATCAAATAAAGAACTTCTGAAAATCCAGATGAAGACGATGAAAAATAAAAAGAAAAAAATTAGTAAAAACTTATAAAGAGTTTAACTACAGTCATGATTGATTATAATCATCAGAACCATTACTGTATAACTTTTATATTTGCATTCAAGTTGATTTGTGCAATTTTTTGCATGGTGAGATGTAAAGCTAAAGCCAGGCACACTCTGATGGCCATTGCAATTCCATGAAGGTTGCTATTAGGTGAAAGATTGTTATCAATGATTTTGCACTCATATTGCCACCAACAACTGGCAGATGGCCCCATGTCATGAAACAAGATTGGGGGTGGATTTTTTAAGTAGGCAGTCAGTTTATCGCCGTCTTTCCGGCATTGGCTTGTGTTAATTTTCAGTGGAAATGGCCTTGGTCTTGGTAGTGGATCAGTATGTTGATATGTTTATCTAGGTTAGTGGCGTATATAGGGGTATGGGGTTGGGTGCATGCCCCTCTAAAAAGCTCCCTCCCCCATTTAAAACATTTGAAGCAAAAAAATCAAGCTAAAGTAGTTAAAAATCACCTTATAACACCTTACTTTGTGAGCTAGCACCCCCTCACTTAAATTTCAGGCCTTCCCACTTCACTATTTTAAATGTTATTTTCATATCATAAAGGGCATGGTAGAAAATACTTAAGGATACCCCCTCAAATTTGAGACCACTCTACTGAGAGACCCTCTAATTTGAGACCCCTTTAATTCTAACGCCACTTTTTCAATGTACCAACTAATGGTCTTCAGTCTTTTAACACAAAGCCAACCCCCTAATAATTGATTGTTGATTGGCGACCAAACCCAGAGACTACCCCACATTATCAGGTTTCCAAAGCAAGTCTCGAATTGCAGGGCAACACTTATTATTTTTCTATTATTATCTCCTTGCTTATCACCATTCTGAAGTCAACACCTGTATGATAATTTAAATAGATTTTAAATAAAATAATTTGTAGAAAATTCATTTTTGATTCTGTTTTCTATCCATTTCTTATATTTTGAAAAAAAAAAATTGTCATCAAACATTGAGTTACAGTCAAGGCCTAGAGAATAGTGTTACTTGTGGTTTGGCAGGATTTAAATCCAAGATCCTGGTATTAGAAGACAAGCATTTTTAATATGAAGCCACAACTTGAATCTGTATTTTTTTTTTATTTATTTATTTATTTTTTTCAGTTTTCTAAAACCATTTAAATGATCAATTTCAAATAAACAAAAAAAAATGTATTACTTGAATACAGACATAATATGTACAACAAAAGGTGATTAAAAACGACCAACAATACTGTATAATCAAACAAGCAAAGCAACGATTAAACTTTCTAATTTAATGAGGAAACTAGAATGTGTTATCTCACATTTAGTTGAATTACATTCTTATAGTCCGGCAGCTTAGCAGATGGATGTGGACGTTCCGGACAAAAGCACCAATTTTTTTTTTACATGCTCCTTATGGTCATAGCATTCAATTTTTGGTAGGAACCACCTCATCCGAGGTCATTATGGTGGCCATCTTGGATTTCAAAATGGCCGCCTAATAAAACCTATGTTTATCTATATCTCCGCTTCTAAACCACTTGGAATTATAATTCTAATGTCTGAAACTATTTTTATATGGTCAAGGAATACAATCATACCATTTTTGACCTGGTCAGATTGCCACAAATAGGTCATTTAAGGTCACTCAAGGTCAAATATTGTATGGTATCTTAAAAATTACAGTCATATTTTA